AAATCGTTTTATTGATTTGTTTTATTTGTGGCTTCTCTACTTTAATCAGTAATAAACCTGGCATATTTTTGATGAACATGACCCAAAGAATTACTTTCTCATGTTTTATTTATAAAGAAAAGTACTGTATTATGTTCCTCTCACCGATCTGCCCTTGTTACAATTAAAATAAAAGCAGCATGGGTGCCTGTATAATATTTTAACAATTAAACTACTCCTTAATTGATACATGTAAAGATTGCGTTTTAATTAATTTTCAAGACAACAATATACCTCATTCGCCGTGTTTGCAGCTACTTGTAGCTAGACCAACCTTTTACTGTGAAGTGCATTGACCGCCAAACCATAGCTAATGAATAAACAATTAACAAAATATCTAAGAGCAATGTCTCCCTCTAGTGGTTAGTATATGCAACTTTAATACATTTTTTTCAGACGGTAGATTAAACTCTAATTAAATTGAATTTCTTATTGGAACTAAACACTTACATAATAATAATAATAATAATAATACACTGCAAAAAAACTTTTTTCTTGTAACTAATATTTTAGACATGTCAGTCTTAGGAATAGTGTTAGGAATTTAATTAAAAAGTAACCTTATACAGTTAAATTGAAGATTCAAATGGATATTTGGAAATACAAAAATGCTGGTGTTTTGTCAGTCCTCCTTGACCACAAAGATATCACAGTGGTGAAGGAGATCCTGTAGCCACCACCGCCCTCTGCTCCCCAGTCCCTTGCAGCCTCCCAGATGGCCTTGATTGCCCCTTGGTTGCCCCTTGATTGCCCTTTGGTTGGCCTGACCCTTGCTGGTCTCATCAGGGCTCCAGTCCAGCTCAGCCTTAGGCTGGCGGCTGGCTGGAGCAGTGTCCACTGACCCTCCTTGTTGGGCCTGTGCACTGTTTTCTGTTGACTGTATGGTAAAGTTGGTATTGAATTGGGATCCTTGGTGTTGGCTCTTGATTCTGTAAGTGAGGACTCAGAAGGTCCCTGAGGTAGCCCACCGGGTAGGCCTCTTATGGCTGAGAGGCAGCAGGGTGGTTGGGGTGCTGGCCCTGGCATAGCCCTGTTCTCAGTTCCTGGCGACTCTGGAAGGGCTCACAGCACACCTGGGCCTTGTGTCCCTTCTTTCAATTCAACTTCATTGTCATTGTCATGGTATATAGAGGCATAATGAGAAGTGTCCTGTGACTCCTGGAGCTGGTGCAACAAGTTTAAAATAGAATAATGGAGTACAATAAAACAATAAGAATATAATAGCAAGTAATAAAATAATAGAATAACAGAATGAATATGATATATGTATAAAACTTTATATAAAATAATACTGTATATTTTCAAGTGTGCAATATCTTACGTATAACGGGTACATATTTTAAGGTATATACACTGAATTCTGCAAACAACTGTGATAGGTAATGACTATATCAGCAAATATGTCAGATAAAGAGGTACAGTACAGTATTGAAAGTGCAGTGTAACACTGTGTAGATAGGGGTCATCAGTTACTGTTGTGGTAGGACATTGATGATGTGGAACACAACAGCCTAATTTTTTCTCTTGGCCAAAGTACTGACAGGGGTTTCACATGGTGCAACGATGACCTGCACCCTCTCTGGGTGCAAGGTGCAGGGGGGTGGAGATGGAGCGGCAGAGTCACTGAAGCGAGAGCCCTCAACAAGACTAGCAGCGCCGGATCATCGCGCACCTACTTTTACTCTGGGTAGGCCGGGGTGTGGAGGCCAGTGGCCAGGACACCAAGAGCCTTCTCGTTTCCCCTGGCATCTGTTTACCAGAAGCTGGTGCAGCTGCATCATGGCACTGTGCCGCCAAAACCATAGCTGGAAGCCATACTCTGATCGTGCATCAGTTACATTCTGTACCACTCTACCCTCCCGGGCCAAGGCCGGGTGTAACTTCATGGCCTCTTCTGACCATTAATTACAGTGACAGGTCAGGTGTGCTTGAGGAGGCCTGCTGCTGGACATGGAGGAGGGGAATCTGCTGAACAAATGGATAAGTAAGTTCCCTGCATCTGCCTCTTTGGGGGTTTGAGGCCTCTGCTGCTGGTCCACTAGCTTGGCCCACTCCGGCTGCTGTAGGGTCTCTCCCAGCACCGTAGCTGTACCTTTCACTGGTGTGCCATGTCAGTGCCCACCAGCCGCCTCTGGTTCTGGCTCTACCTTCCCCATGCTGCTCGCTGGCTGCTGCTTTCTGCCACGTCGCTACCCTGCTCTTCTCACCGGCCACATCTGCTGCAGTAGCCCTGAGATTTCCTCCTCAGGCTCAGCAATATCATACTCCAGATCACCTAGGGAGGACATCTTCTCCACCCGAGGTCCCAAAGTGGTATTAAAATTAATTGTAATATAAATGTGTTAGGTTTTTAAAACATTAAATAGCAAAAATGAATTGCTAAGTATTAACTTAATTTTTTATAAAGTTACTGGCTTATTTTTTGTCAAATTTACTGAACCTTTGAATTCTGAATCACTTTTTCCAGTGCACATGTGTTTAATAAAATAGCTGAATTTCATCCAGGGACATCAGAGGGACAAAATCTACCTAGGGGGGTCCAAAGTGACAGTGGGGCATGGGGGTGCCTATTTTCTATCTATGCCCCTGAATTTCTATGTCCCAAACTTAAAGAAAACTAAACTTGTTAGAGTAATTTTTGTAAGCTTTCCTAAATTGTTGTCATTCTCTCCTGAGCTTGTTCATGACACAGATCCTTTTATTTTTCAAGTCACATGAGAACTTCTTGTTAAGTTGTTTTTTTCTGTTACCTTGTGTGAGAACCCACGGCAAAGCATATTGCTCCAAACTAGGAACAATCAAAGCCACGTCAGTGTTGTTCCTATGAGTAGTCAAATGATGCATTTTTGCAGTTATTAGAGATTTATAGTGGAAAATCTTGCAGCCAAACTATGTATAAATATCATCTGACCAGCAGTGTTTCAGTAAAGGTGAAATTAAAAATGATTATGTATGCAACTAATTCAATGATTCATCTAGAGGTTTAGTGGGACCAATGGTTATCAGCTCAAAATAAAACATGCTTAATGTTTGCTGCCTATACAGCCCATAATATTCAATTTTGCGCATGGCAGGATAGTGAGAAGCCTCCACGGGATCCATCCATCCACTGCTTATATTAATCAGGGACATGCGAGCAGCATTAATTGTAAGGAACAGAGCCAAAGAAAGAAACCATCTTAGTGTCTTATGGAACACTTGGCGAAACTCATCAACTACATCTGCATGACAGGGTGCCTTTTCCAAGCTTCCTACTCTATCCTACAGTTCTTCATCAGCCATGTCCATGCCCAGCTGATTTACTGTGTATCGCAGGTTTCCAATATGGCATTGAACAACTCCTGAGGATCACGATCCAATATCCAGGCTGCTCTATGCCAAAAAATGTTACACAGATGCAAACATGTACAACTCCTGGTAAAACGCACAGAAACTATATTCAAAATTCAATCATTGTATTCAAAAACTGTTACTCGTTTATGTATTTACTATGCTGTAATCATTTTTTAGGCTGTATCGTTATTTAGGCTGTAACATATAGCCTACTGTAAGAGTGTAATAGGCTATACCATCTAGGGTGTGTATGCACTCTTTATGGTGTTCTTACAATAACAAAATCACCTAACAATGATTTATTTAGTTCCCATTCAGTATTGCTTTTGTCATACAAGTCAGTCAAGCATATTTCTATCTATCTTATCCTGGTCAGAGTCATAAAGGAGCCTGCAGTCTATCCCAGGCAACATATTTACAGGCCATGAGACTGGGGTACAACATTGACAGATGTCAGTACATTACAGGATACATACATGAACACACAATCATACTGTATGGGCAATTTAGAGATACCAACTAACCTAAAAGGGTGTCTTTGGACTGCAGGAAGAAACTGGAAAGCTGAACAGCACAGGGAGAACTTGCGGGGCGGGAGAACGGACAAACTCCACATGCGGGGCGGGAGAACATACAAACTCCACATGCGGGGCGGGAGAACGTACAAACTCCACATGCGGGGCGGGAGAACGTACAAACTCCACATGCGGGGCGGGAGAACGTACAAACTCAACATGCGGGGTGGGAGAACGGACAAACTCCACATGCGGGGCGGGTGAACGCACAAACTCCACATGCGGGGCGGGAGAACGTACAAACTCCACATGCGGGGCGGGAGAACGGACAAACTCCACATGCGGGGCGGGAGAACGCACAAACTCCACATGCAGAACTGTGGCACGAATCAAACTCTGGAGCTATCGGCTGGTGGTATCCACATTTTTATTGCACATTTCACTGGGTGGAATTATATTTACATAACATACTGACTTAAAACAATCTATAACATGAAGACTTCATGAACAGACTGGCAGTTTTTTCTTTTCAAAATGGATATTTCTCTGTTTAGGTTAAAACCAATGAACAGAGGCATTCTTCTATCTTCAGTAATGAAAAGTTGGTGAAACAGGGCTGAATTTAAAGCATACCCACACTTACACCAAATGAGGTATAAAGTGCACACATGGCTTGTTCCTTTATTGCCACCCTAATAAATCAGTATAATGTAGCTTGTATATTATCATTAGCTACATTATCATTAGCATTTTGCAATTGTCTACCTGACGGAAAAACAGCAGTATCATGCTGGGGAGAGCAGGATTAATGAATGCGGTTGAGATACTGTAAAATCTAGGAACGACAGTTACACAGTGGATAGATAGTGTACAGTACAGACTTATCTCTCACCCACTCGGATAAAGCCCGACTTGTCAATATCTTGCCCCAATCATTTCTGAAACCTATACGATCTTAAAAAAGTACAATATCACCAATTGTGGACCTGCATATTAAAAATGCTTTCTCAATTACAACCTGTACTGACAATTATCTTTCTGAAACAATTTCCACAAATTCCTTTACAACTACTGTTCCCAGGAAAACTGTAAAACTACAGAAGCCAAAACAAATGCAATTTACTTTTAAATGTATCTTTATTTAACAAAAAAAACAATGATTTAATTATGGCATACCCAGAAGATTTTGTAGTCTTCTAACAAATCGTTATCAATCTGTAATAAGGAAACAAAAAATGCACATCTCACGCCATGGATATTTAGAGACACCAGTTCACCTAAACACATATTTTTGGAAGGAGGAAGGAATCTGGAGCACACAGGAGAGACCTAAATAAATATGGAGAAAATAATCACATACACCCACATCCAAGGGCAGGAACTGAACCCCCATCCTTAGAGATGCATGGGGACAGTATTGTCCACTGAGCCATCAAACTACTGCATACCTCATATGTTTCAAAAAATCTATATTTTTGCACATCCTAATGTAGTTTCAGTCAGCAGACAAGTAAGCATGTATTCAATGTGAAAATTTTGTATGAATTGTTAATGTGTTTAATATTCCCAGACTCCTTAATATTGACGTTTTTCATTCAAGCGGTTTATTTGCACTTTATCTTTAACAATATATAAAGATATATCTATATATTTTTAGGATATACTATGCAACAATACTATATTATACTATATATATTTAAGGTCACATTACAATATTTATAAGTTATATTATATATGATATATTACACAAACAGACACACATAACACTGTGTCATCCTAAATCACCCTCATGGAGCATTAATATCTGAGGTTAACATGCACTTCTTGAATTTTTGGCCCGCAGAGCGAGGCGGGCAATTGACTTGACCATACATGTGGAGAACCTGTGACAGGAGCCAGAATTGGAAATGTAATTGGAGGCAATCTGGTGCAGTCGCTTGGCTCCAAATGTGTTAAAGTGTCCTGGAAGGACCTGCTCCACCTCTTCATTGTCCACAAGCTGCAGCAGCCGCTCACAGCTGCTCACATAGTCAGTGACTCTGCTGTACGGCAGCCAGTCAATCATGGCCCCGTTATAGACGACATCGCCACTGAACAGAAGCTTGTTTTCCCTGTCATGGAGACAGATGCTGCCCCTGGAGTGGCCAGGCATATGCAATACTGTTAGCTGCCTGTCTCCCAGGTTGATGACGTCACCTTAAAAATAAAAAGGAACAAGCCAGTATTTCAACTGCATTGCACCACTGACACAGCAAAATCCCATCGACTATATCCCAAATGACAGAAAACAGTGGTTACGCTGAGTTCAACTTATCAGAAATTCACATTGAAAATAAAGTTTTTAATCCCATTCAGCGAAATACAAAAAAAAGGGAAGTACGCCAAGTGCACTTTCCTAATTTATGGTTATGGTATGATTTATGGACGTCTCTTTTCCTCACAGATGCATTTTGCAATATAAATCTCATAGTGACGGCTCTTCAGTCGTAAGGGAAAAGCATCTGAGATACTTTTAAGTAGGCTTGGTTTACAGGAACCAAGACACTAACACCCCAGATAAAACCCTTTAATTAAATTCAGTATCGATCGTTTTCTTCCTTCTCAGCATTAATCTGTCCAGTGTCTTGGGATTTGACATGCAGTGATCATAATGACAATAACATTAAATAACCGTACCTTCCTGTAATATGTGAGTCGGCTGAACTGGTTTGACTTTGTATTGCCTGGCTCTCCAGCCAGGCGTCGGATCCCGCACTATCTCACTGTCAGAAAGCCAGGTCACGGTCTCAAAGTTGTCTCCGTTGGCCAATGCATCGACCTCCGCGACATGCACGCCCACCTGTTGAAACTGATGCAGCCCACCTGAATGGTCAAAATGGACGTGAGTGCCGATGGCCAGCAAAGGGTTTTTCCGCTCGGACTCTTCTCCAAGCAGACCTGTCGCAATCAAATAGTCAGGCAAGCTCCTCAAGCCCAGTCCAGTGTCTATCACGACGTCCTGATGAGATCCACGAAGCAGCCAAATGTTAGCTCTGTTACCCGATTCGTAAAACCTCTCCTGGATCCAGAATACTCCATGTCCGAGGGATTTATGCGCATACCATTCTGTGGCGGACATCCCACTTCATGCACTTGAAACAAATTAAGAATGAGTCCCAGTGTCTGCGAAAAAAATATGTAAGTGGATTGCCACAAAGGAATATAAATATATAATAATCCCCAGTTATGCGGACCTGCTCTAAGCTAAGGTTCCTAGGGAAGCAAAGCGGACGGACAGCGAAGCGAAAAAAGGAAACAGTATGACATTGGTGTCAAGCGAACCCTATTGGCTATGGCAAATTGGCACCGCCCATACGTCATCACGTAAAGACGCAGAGTTAAAAGGCACCGCATGGTCCTTCCAGTATTTTATACTCTGCTGACAGATCATTGGGGAAGGTAATGTGAATTTTACTTTTTGTTTGTATGTTCTTTTTCTGAAGTTAATTGTCAGATATTTATATTAACTCCGAGTCCGCCAGAAGTGATCATAATCTCCGACTTTGTTGTGGTTGGCATTGTATTTAGAACACAATTACAGTATTATTTTCTTGTAAGTGATTGGAAACTTAACCTTAATTCGCTTTAACTTAAACTGGCATGTTGGATAGGGTATGCTTTTTGCAGGCTGTGCATGACATCGCTTATTAAATTGTTTGATAGCGCTTGTTAGCTTATTCTGCTCCAAGTATCTGTCCATGAGGCCAATTTCTGTTAATTAAATTACATTAAATTACATATGCTTTTATGTACGTGGTTTTGGTTATTTGAATTCTGATTTATCGTAAATATGTGATGTTTTATTCTTGCCTGCGGATAAAAGGTCAGCTTTTATCCTGTATATCCTAATTCCCATACAGTCATTCTCCAAGTGGGTTGTGCAGTGTCATTGCCTTTGTTAACTGTAGTCTTTACTATGGTTAAAGTAAAAAAAATAAAAAATAAAAATACTATGGTTAAAGTGCATTTTATCCCGTTTGTTCATGCGGATAGGATGGCAGGAAGAGGGCGAGGTCGGGGCATAGCAGCCTTCACCTTCAACATTGAAGCTTTGGGGCTGAGTAGGGGGGCACTTCCTGAGACGGCACTTGGTCCTATACCCCTCTTCCCAGTATGGGCTGCTTGTATTGCCTTTTCTGATTTTGTTTTATGTAGTTTTTTGTCCGTTTCTTTCTTAATTTTTCAGATTCAGATTCAGAGACTGGCCACAAAAAAAAAAATCTGTTTGCTTTTTTTCTGTAGAGAAATGTTAATCTGTAAAGGTACTGAGTAAGAAAACAACATGAATTTTGCATTTCCTTAAAGTTAAAAATGCTAAATGTGTTTTGAACTATGAGTGATAGGTGTACAGTTTGTAGTGCTATCATGTTTATTATTTTATATTTGGGTATTTTTTCCTCCTGCTTTTCAGTTGCATGTTTCAATATATAAGATTCATATTGAACTTCTTGCCTGTATGTAGCCAGTGGAGTACAAGCCAGTGCCTCTAAAATCTGGAGAAGATGAAGAATATATGCTTGCCCTGAAACAAGAAATTAGGGCAACAATGAAAAATCTGCCTTACAATATCCCAGTGCCTGAGGAGAAGCCCGGTGATTCCCAACTGTAGTTATACTACTTTCTAAAGTAACTTAATTTTAGGAAACATAGTGAATGTGTGTAAATTACCATATTACTGAAAGGTTGCAATTTTTTTTTGCTTAAATTAAGTTTAATAGAGGACAAGATGGTGTAACATGAGAAGTGATCAGTTACCCATCACTTTTGATGACTTTCTTTGACGTGTCTGTGAGGAAGAGTACTATTGTTCCCATATAACCTGTCAATGATTCACAATTGAAATGATGAGAATTATAAGAAACTGATAGATTAATGAGTGATTGTAAGCTGTGTTTCTATCACATGGACCAGTTTTCTTAATCTTTAAGTGAATATTTCATTATGAAGAACTTGACAAATTATCTCCCATGATATCCCTTGATTTTCAAGATGTTGAACGATACAAAGAGAAGTATACGCAGAAGGTATATAAAAACAAGCACAATACATGGACACCAGGTATGGTTGGATATAAAATTAATGTTCTACCCAGCTTTCCTTTGTCTGAACAAAAATCTCTTATGTTCTGTTCTGTGATGAGTAGTGTGCCTTCCTTATGTTCTGTGATGAGTAGTGTGCCTTCCTTATGTTCTGTGATGAGTAGTGTGCCTTCCTTATGTTCNTCTGTGATGAGTAGTGTGCCTTCCTTATGTTCTGTGATGAGTAGTGTGCCTTCCTTATGTTCTGTGATGAGTAGTGTGCCTTCCTTATGTTCTGTTCTGTGATGAGTAGTGTGCCTTCTCTTTACAGATTGGCAGCGCCTTCCAAAGGAGTTGATGCCCCAAAAGAAAAAGAAAACTAAACCTAGTAAATGCAGATACAATGCATTTGTTCATATATATGCAGTTACTTATTTCTACCTAAATTACTTATAATTTAGAATATTTTTAAACAACGTGTTATTTGTGGAAGAATGTTAAATATAGTAACAGGAAGAATAGTTTTTTCTTCCCCCCCATGAGCAGAAATGTAGTGCCAAAATGTATGTTAACAGAGGTGACGAAGCAAGTCAAGGCAACTTCAAAGAAAGAGAAAGAAGACTTGCTCTCTAAATTAGATGTAAGTCTTTATATAGAAATATGTATTTTTTTAACTTTGGGTATTTTTTAGTATTTCTAGTGTATCCTCACAGAAATGTTTAGAGACTCACTATGTTCATTTTAAGTTTAAGGATAACTCAGCTGCTGTATTTGCATTATTTATCTGGGTTTTGTTATGAAGATTTTTTTTTATGTGGGGGTGCTGTTCAGCCTACCTTGCTCTTGCACTTCAGGAGCTAGAAAAGAAAGATCAGAAATCTGATGACGAGACTGGAGAAAAGGCAGCAGATGAAGGAGAAGATGAAGAAGGCGGTGAGGGTGTGGAAGGGGGAGAATTTGATGAGGAGGAGGCCGAAGAGGTAATTTGATTTGGTATCAAAGCAATGGCTTTCAACGACATGGGTCGGTCAGTATGTGTGTAATATACAGTGGAAAAGTGTAAACTAAAATGCCAAAGGGCAGTGTGGCACACTGATTTGGACTCCATGATGGTGGGTCTGATTCACACCAATGGCCTTTTCTCTGTGGAGTTTGCATCTTTCCTCTGTGTTTGTTGGTTTTGTCCTGAACTCCAAAAGTATGGAATTAAGGAAAGTGAACATTTTATATTATATAGCTGTTTTGCCAAGCATTTCACTGTTACCTTATTTCAGTCTTAGAACTATAAACAGGCAATAAATTATTGGATGTGTGAAACTGCATTGTGGGTACACATGACAGATTAGTGCGATGCATCTACACTGTAACACCGTAAAGTAGATTGCAGTAGCAGAACTGTAATAGTAACAAGCTGCTGCCAGTATTTCACTGTTAACCCACATGACAATTTCAAATTAAGAAAAAAAGTTTGTGTTATCATAGTACATTTAAATTATGTTAAATATACAATCAATATATTCAACAGTATATTAGGGACACCTGCTTCTAAACGCAAATTACGTGGCTGCCACTGAATACATAAGCACACACGGATAGAGACAAGAGGATATGTCACTGTTCTGGTAGAAGTAAGGATGGTTAAGATTATAATGTCAAAGTGATTTCCAGATGTGGTGGTTCCGGCATCTCAGGAACAGCGACATTACGGTTACGTTTCACACGCTATATATTGTCAAGATTTTATGAAGGACGCAAGAAAAAAAAATCCAGTCATCAGCAGACATATGTTTTATGGGTGAAGTCAGAGGAGATTGACTAGACTTTAAGCTAACCGGAAGGCCACAAGTGCAAAAACAACAGCATATCACAATAATGGCGTGCAAAATGGCCTCTTGGAACACACAACTCCATCTTCCCTTCAATATTATCCCCAGTAGTAACTAGTTCCTAGTAAAATAGCCACTTGGTGGAGACTTAAATCTTTTTGTTTACACAGGAAAATGACTACATTGCCAGCTACTTCGAAGATGGTGATGACTTTGGAGGCGGGAGTGATGACAATATGGATGAAGCTACCTACTAGCTTGCCCAAAAGCTGTCTTCACATTGCTTTTTTGCTTTGGTATATCCTAAATATCCCTTCTTTGGTCTTTTTTCCCGTTTATTCTGTATGGAAAAATGTCCAAGTTTGGATTGATATTTATTTATGTTACCATTTCTGATAGAATATGGTATATTGTGAATAGTACTTCAGAAAATCCATGATTTATATTTATTCATTTTTCCCCCTGTGTTACCAATGCTTTCCTGGGAAAAAAAATCCCACATTAAAGATGAAAATGATATTAAGATTCCAGCAATTACTCTTTGGATGTAGAATTTAAACACTCAAGTTTTTTCCAACTGTATTTAAAACACTGATATTGCAGGAAATGGAAAAATCATGTATTCTTTACTCCATATTAACTCAATACTATACATGGTGTTCGGGTAATGCTAATTCTTTTCTTTTTGCTTTTATAACGTATGAAATTTCTAACAGTCATTGTATTTGGGTTTTTCTTTATGTCCATTTCATTTGTATAATGAGTCATTTAAAGACAGGCAGTACTGTTTGGGTAATTATGAGTAAAAGAAAGACCAAGATATTGGCTAATTCTTTGCATAATAATTAAACAATTCCGTGCAGAAATCTAGACTTTTTAGAGCTATATTATAAGAAAGAATTCATGTCCCTACTTATGGATTGGTTTGACATAGGTGAGTTAATTTTCTTTTGGGCATTTTGAATGATTATTTATCACTTTGACAAATTTGATTGTAGCTGGTAAAGTGAACAGTGAGAAACACACTGACCAACAAATATATATGGTTCCAGTCAAAAGTTTGGCCAAACATCCCCTTGAAAGGTTTATTTGTACTATTCTCAACATTTTAGAATAACCTAGAATAAACCTACAGTAACATATATGGATTATGCTCTGACCGAAAAAAGTATTTTTCAAAAATCATTTGTTTCGGGGGGAGGGGGCAGCTCTGTCAGTTGGGACTCAGAAGGTTGCTGGTTCAAATCCCATAGTGATCAGAGTGATCCCGCCATCGGGCGCTTAAGCAAGGCCCTTAACCCCTATTCCTCCAGGGACTGGCTGACCCTACTGCCTCCTCTATGCCAGTTCCATGAGGTGGCCTCCTGGGATGCTTTACCAGCCATTCTGATGGAGGTCTCACATATAGGCTGAGGGCTCATTGGCCGCTTTTCCTTCATTTTCAGGTCAAACTCCTTCAAAACCATTTCTACTGTGTTTAGGTCAGGTGGCCAGGTCATGTGACACTCACTCTTCTTTGTAGGTGGCTTGATATGTCCACACTTTTTACTGGTACTGTACACCCATTTACTAGTGTGTAAATGCTTTACAGTATGTTTTCTGTTGAAATTCATAAAATTCACTTGTAAATATGTGATGTACACTGTGCAGCATTTAACAATTTTCTCTTGAAGCATCCTCTTGCATACTTCAAATCAGCCACAGGGTGTTGTTAGCCAGTGTTAATTGATTGTCCTAATTGCTAATTTTAGTTGTGCTTCTGAAAAATGAAATTTGAAATTGAATCATAAACTGCTGTCATGTAATGTTTTATATGTTAATATGTGAATGTCTTTAGAAAAGCAACTAGATTTTGTTACCTTGTCACAAAACAGAAGCATGTTATCTTAGCAAATTGGATTTTATTTTCATTCATAGTAAGTGTACCTCTATCACAAGCACTTTCACCATAACCATTCATCCACTCTCAGAAATAATGTTGAAAAAGGGGGTTACTGTTTCGCAGGATCTCTTTGAAGAAAACAGAGTAAATGTAAACCTAATACACATAGTAACATAGCATGCACCTGTTGCACAATTTCCAAAGCATGTGAGAACCCAGTCGAAAATTATACGGCTCCATTATCTCGTGCTTTTTTGTTTCTCAAACATTGCTCTACATGTTGGCAGTGTTAGATGAATGACAAGTAAAAAAAAAATCGTGATACTTTTTATCTTACATGAAAATGGCGTTTTTGGTTTTGTTAAAAGGAACCGATGAAATACAAGAAGAACATAATGAAAACTTTGGCCTGAAACGTAACAAGTAACTTTATTATTAGTTTACTTAGGATAAAGCTTTACTTCCAGCATGAAAAATAATGACGGCGTTAGTTGCTTCGAATGCTCATTCTTTCTTATTGCGGGACACCTCAAGACATTTTTAGCAGCCTGATGTCGCTTCGCTTTATAAATAGGTGGCCGAGGGGAACATAGTTCGCTGGGTGGAGCTGTTCGCTCGGTCCCATGCAGGCTTTGCCTGTCAAGCTTTCCGAAACAAATGCGATTACCACGTCTGCTCTTTGAAATGAGGATCCCGGGCTGCCTAAAGTAGTTCTATTCGCAGAGTTAGCAGAAGGTACAGGACGGGACAGCTTCAGTCTATAAGAAAGCGTTAAGTCATTCATTTAATGAGGATAAAAAGAGTAGGGAGGCTAGGTCGTGTTCCCATAACCAGTGGGAATACCGTTACCAGTTACTTCACCCCAGTGTGAAACGTTGTTTTTTTGTGTGCATAAATACAGTGGATTCCACAAGGCATCCGAAGGCGACACAAGAATGTGATTCTCAATAAAAAACAATATATTGACAGGAAAATAAAAGAACCCTGCAAAATATTTTGAGGAAACAACATCGATGATACCTTCGGAAGCTGTAATACGCAGTTAATTCATCCTGGGTTTGTAACCAGAGCAAGGCGTCAGGTAAGTTAATGTCAGTTTAATGTAGTATGTCAGAGTAAACGAGTGTCCGAGAACAAAGTTGAGATTGCGTAAAATTATATAGACTGGGAAAGTTTCTGTCTTTATTACAAACTAAAGTGCAGATATAGTGAACGTTTTATTATAGCGTTAATGTCCTAGAAGTATGTCTAGTAGTACAGTGAACTGTTTGAACATCTGTTTTATTAGCAAGTATTTATGCTTAATTATGCCCCGATACAAAAACAAAACAATATTCAAAGTTGTATTTCTCATTTTTAAATAACAATGTTGTATTTTATCGCGTAAATATTCTTAATGCGTGGTTATATAAATGCTTAACTTAAAGAAGGGTGAGTAATTTATTGCTTCCATCACGGGGTGCTGGGTAGCTCACACCGAGGGATTGACGTATGTAGTAAAAAACAATTAAAAGCTTTCAGTAACTACTAATTTCTTTTACGTTATGCCAGCATTCCCTTGGAGTTGCTAGTAAATTTAAAAAAGCCCAAATATTGATTCAATGCAATGATTAAATGAATGACTGGGTAACCCATTGACGAGCAGAACAAATGCTTCCATGGTTACTTTCTGGATATTCGCCGTGGACACTGTGCTTTGTGTGTTTCCTCCTTCCTCCATTGAAATAACACAGCAATCCGTGGGGAACCGCCACACATGGCGTGCCTGAGTTCGGGCTCCCTCTAAAAACACTCTGCTGACCCGTCTTATCCAGGGACTCTTAATGCTCTATGTGAAAATATATTTATTTTAACAAGAAGTTTGTATGATGTACCGAGGGCACCTGAGTCACTATCTGTCTATCTATCTTGCTAGCTAACTATATAGGTTAGGTTCATAGAAAATATACTGAATAATTTCTGACTCACTGAAGTTCTGTACCTTCTCAGGGGTTCGCATTTTTCTTTGTATTGGAATAAACCAGTAATTATATGAAATATAAACAACCTAATAATCTGTTTTGGGTCTGGCACAGACCTAGAAATTTATTTTAAATTAAGTTAGTTGTGTTGTATTAAATAGAAACAAATACAAAGTTAGATTATGCTTGCATTTTATCTGAACGATAAACTAAAGATATATTGTACATTTTACATTTTGAGTAAGAAATAATTTTCTTCCGTCAGAAGACTGTTCAAGTTTTTTTTTTTTCCCCCAATGGGAAAGCCCGATAGAGGTTTCTGTGATGACCATGGCACACAGTGAAGCCGTGACAAAAGACTAGCAGGTGTAAGCACAGGCAACGGGAAATATGGCATTGATAGGGGGGTGTTTTTTTAGGCCTCCAAACAAATGTCATGTCGCTGATACTGCAAGGTTGTGTGAGAGCCACAAATATAGGAAATGTACAGATTTAGATTGTACTTCTGAAATACTGCAGGTAATCAGCTAAATGCTCTACTAAGCTAAGGAGTCTCCAGCTAATCTACTATTTGCCTGTCCCACAACCCCTCTCCATTGGGTGCGGCCAATCCAAAGACTGCTCCCATCTTTTGTGCCTTAATAAATAGCGTCTGCTAAGTGTGCATCCAAGGATGATGCAGTAGCAGCTGCCACACGCATATGCTAAAAGCATTGATTTAATTATATCTAAAAAGGATTGTTAAAACTGTGGCTTTATTTGTCTTCATCTCTTTTTCAGAGCATGTCAGATGGGCCACACACTCTGTGACTGCTAAGCACCTTATCTTTTGCACATGGCCCCAGTGGAATTAGACACCAGGGCATGCTTATTACTGAGGTTGTGTGAGGATTGCATTAGGGATGTTTATACATGGTGCCTGATTGCATTAATGACCTGCTTCTGGAATGCTGCCAAGCATTGCTATAGTATTCATAGATCTTAGAAAGGAAGATGCCATGGACACCAAAGAAGTATTTTATCTAAGGAATCCGTGTGAGAGTTAAGAATGGTCCATGGATAGCTGTGAACTATATTGATATGTTTAACCATTTGGTTGAAATGTGGAGTGTTCAGTTCACACAATGCATATACTTTTAAAGTAAATTACGTGCACTAGGATTTTTCTGGTCTTTTTATTTCTTTATATATTTTTTAAGTTCATACATTTTTTGTATCTGTATTTTACATAGTTCACATTTACTTACTGAGAAATTAAACGTCTCAAACAAAATTACTTCTAACTGCAACAAAGCACACTAAATACTAATTCTATATGAAGTCTTCTAAAAGGCAGACTGAAGTCTTGAAAATCTTGCTGTATTTCAGTATATAGGGGAACTTCTGTGTGTGAATGTGTGGGAAAGTAACACATAGTGCTAAATCCTTATTCAAATTCCAGTGAATCTTATTCAGTTCCAGTGTAGATTATGTTTCCACACCTTCAGAGTGTAAATAGCAGGGTTACAGACTTTAATTACTTTCCCACCATTGAGGGGCCTCCACTAAAACAATACTCATATATGTAACAGAAGCACAAAACGACATGGTTCTGCAAGTCATCACTTTGAGGAGTAACAACTAGTAGGGATATGACTGCTCTTAAAACTGACACTGCTTTAGCGATGTTTTTCTTCTGTGTCAGAATGAATGGGGCAATTTTCAGCAATTTAATTTGGAACTTTTGATGAATATAAGAAAAGCAGTAAATGAAAGATTGTAACTCAGTGCTGAATGAGCTTTTGTCATGTTTGATACTGTAGGTGTCAGCTACAGAGAGTTTGGAAAAATACCAGACATGAAGCAGAACTGGGCCATGGAGTTTGCAGGCAAATGTGTTCAAGTTGAAATCTAGGCCTATAAGGCTGAAACATTTTTTTTAATGGCACCCGTATTGGGATTATTCTGTCCCATCATAAAGGTGCAAAAACATTTCTTAGGTAAAGTATTATAGGTTGAAAAATATCATGGTCAAATTTGCAGTCACTAATGTATAGTTTTACCACTTTATAAAACAGAAATATTATATTTTTGCTTTGCTGCTCTGATAAATATATACATGTGTAATTATTTTTAATACCATGGATTTTTGTCTTATGCATCTTTAAAATGTGTTTAATAGTAAGTTTCACTTATTGGATGCTTAGTCATACTTTGGTCACTTAGCTGCTGGGTATCTAATTTCTCAATTTGCAAATGCAATTGTGAAGCAAGATAAGGAGAAATTAAGATAGCAAGGTGTCAGTGGGTCATTCCCAGTTAGCATCAACGTGCACTTTCTTCCTTGGGTCTGAAACATTGCAGTTCTATGTTGGTTGTTCCTTATATCTGAATGTCTTGGTTATTTCAAATTTTGTGGATGTTGAAGAATATTTTTAGCAATTCTTTTCCGTGGAGAAAAGGGAGAGTGATAGGACATTCCCTTTGTTCAGAGATGTCCAACAATCCCAGTGGTGTTTTTTTTTGCCTGGTGATTTGCTGCAATTGTTACAATATTTTTGCTGGTATTTTCGATGTCACAAAGTATCTCATAAGAACTTTCTGTAAACACCCACACATACAAACACATACATCTTCACTCAAAGTTTTGATCTTCAGCTTTTTCCTGTGCTCATTGCACTTGGCCCTTGCTCTTTTGGTTCTCCTTGGACACTTCATAAATCAGAATTTCAGTGCCGTGTATCTTACTTTCATATTCTTCAGTGTTTTTATTGCTGATGATGAAAGTCGGCTCAGCAGCCTAATGAATGTTCCATGGTGGTAAGACCCCACCTAGAATATTGTGTGCAGGTTTGGTCACCATACCTTAAAAAGGACATTGCTGCTTTGGAAAGGGTGCAATGTAGGGCTACAAGAATGATTTCTGGTCTTAGAGGAATGTCTTATGAGGAGAGGTTAGCTGAGCTGAATCTGTTTAGCCTCGAGCAAAGGAGACTAATGGGGGGCATGATCCAGGTATATAAGATTCTAACAGGTCTGGATGCTATTCAGCCAAATGGCTACTGTAATATTAGTTTAAATACTAGAACTCGTGGCCATAGGTGGAAATTAGCGGGAGAACATTTTAAACTGAATTTGAGAAAGCAGTTCTTTACACAGCATGTAGTTAGAGTGTGGAATAGTCTTCCTACTAGTGTAGCGCAAGCTAAAACCCTGGGGTCCTTTAAATCAGAGCTAGATAAGATTTTAACAACTCTGAGCTATTAGTTAAGTTCTCCCCAAATGAGCTTGATGGGCCAAATAGCCTCCACTCGTTTGTAAATTTCTTATGTTCTTATGCATGTAATTATTAGACCAAATTTTTAATTTATATTTCTTAGTACAATTCTCTGGAAAAGGTCATATATTCCTGGCATTCATCTCAAAATACAAAGCTGCGAAAAAAGTAACAGCTGACATTCTGCTATTAAGAGGTGGTTCATCAGCCCTCATTAAGTTTATGCGAAATATTGAGCAGCCAGGTTGGGCAGTTGGTAACCCTCTCCAGTAAATTGTAGACCTCATTGCTAAGTTGGCTGTAAATCCGTGCAGATGCAACCTGTTGTGTTCACCATCCGCCGTCTAATTTATGGCTGTTGCCTGAAGAGTCCTGCCGCAACGCCACGTGAAGGGTCACAGCCCGTTTCCCAGATTGTAGTGTCCCCTACCCCTATTCGTCACCCCTGATCAGTGTCTTTGTCAGAGTCAGTGGCGACAGGCGGTGCAGAAGCGTGACTCCCCAGGCATCCTGGAAGCGCGGCCATGTGTGGCAGAGAGCTCCACTCCACTTTTAATTGCCACTGGGTCCCCGTTTTGGTTTGCTTTTTTATACCATTCACCTTTGTTTTTGTTTGTATAGAAGACTCTTTTTTTCTGCTGTATGTGTGGGTTTGAAACACTTTCTGTATCGTTGTGCATTTTGGAACAAGCATCTCTGAAACTAGATTTTCAAGTGAAAGAGTTTACAGAATGCACGTTATTGTAAATCTTTTAAAATGACATCCACCCTAAGAAATTCTTAATAACTATATGTGGATAGCAACTAAGGAAGCAATTAAGATAGTTTTGGAGCATGAAAAAGAAAAGAAAAATATTTGAATGC